TGCAGTCGACACGAGACGCGTGGGGCTGGGAGTTCTCACAGACAGGTCCTTCGTGGATGGGGTCTATAAGAGACTTGCAAAAGAAAAGAAGTAAAATCCCATGACCCCAAGAGTTTCGGTGAGATCCAAACGGACACTCAACTGTTATTTGTATCGTGTTCCAAGCATTACACCATCATTCTACCAGCACCCATCTGCTCGAATGCATAGTCTTTCCAGGTCGCTGTAACAAGCTTCTTTTGATAATCACAGATGTGGTTCTAAATTCCCAAACTTGATCATGGAAACGTTGTATAGAACAATGAAATTGGCAAACTCTACATTGAAGGTTCACGACAAATCAAGAATCATCCATCAAACGGTTCATCAAACGATCACGTATGATTTGCGAGACTTCTACGAATCATCCAAATATAATAGTACATTTTTACCGGATGCGAGATATCACAAGTGCAATTCGTCATGGTAAAACCGTTTTTATTGAACGTTTTACCAGTTAATGTGTAGCTGAATTCACTACACCTGGTTTTCACAAGTGGTCCGAAAGAAATGCAACGGAACGCTAGATATTTGTTTAATTATGCTAGTTAACAAACTTTTGATATGGTTCTTTTTGTTTACTTGCCTGATCTTTGGAAATGTAGCTATCACCAATCGTGTGGGAAAATTTAAAATTTGAGTAAAACATATCTTCGGAAGATATTTGCGAGTTGAAAAACTGAGCGCTGATTAAATTCGTGCAGAAAGTTTCTTAAACGGCAGAATGCGATTGTTCATTAGTTTTCCAGTAACTCAAAGCGGTCCACCTGAATAAATGAAATAAACTGCAAACCACACAATTTGATTATCCGCCACTGTCACTTGTTACCATAGCAATATTTGATGTGACCACCAGAGAAAAATGCTTTCGTTAGAACTACCAGATCTCATCCACATCTGTCAGCCAACCAGACATGAATCCGTCAGAAGATTGTAATCTATGTGTCAGATGGGACGGTATTTATCTCCCACGTTTATCTGCTAGTGTACCCGGGAGTGGGGTGGGGATTTGGAATGAGAGCTGGTCCTTTGGAAATGCAGTTGATCAGACTGATATTTGGTTTTGGGTCATAGAAATGCCGTGTTTACCTGTTGGACGACAGATAGATTACTTCTTTGAGCTTTGATACCTGGTGTGGCTCGATACATAGATTCTGCGTTGCCCATTCTGACGGTATATTTTTGCATTCACGTCCTAAAAATACACTCATATGCGGTTTGAAGAGAATCAGGCAAACTGTCACAGGCACACCCATAGTGCTTTGATCTCCACCGCCCTATTCAGATTTGTAAGCCTCGCGTGAAGTGTAAGAAGAAGTGGATTTCTACTGCGAATCCACCTCGTCGACCACTTATCTACCCTGGAACACGTGCCGAGTAAGAGTGTTTCAGTTACAGATGATTTGGCTTAAATTAAGGGGAAAACTGTTTATTGTTCATCTTTGTAGGAAAAACGAGTTTAGAAACCAAAACCATTGACGTTTGTGCAGTGAGACCGCATCCTTTCATAGTCGCCTAATGGGAAAATGAAGTTAATCCACCAATTCACATGAACAACTGTTTTCATCAATTTGATATGGTTATTTTTCTCTAAGGAATCAGCTGCACAGTTTTGTGGCTTGAAATCGAGCATGGTGTACATATTTATGTGGATTCACTTTCCCTAAGTAGGATTCTAGCTATCCCTAAGTGAGGAACCACCCACATTAGACGAAACAGAATGGCGATTACGCAATCGGGTTTTGTCACACAGGCTGAATTCAGTTACCAGAACCTCGTGAGCACACAGCTGGTTTCTAACACGTACTACGCACACACGCACATAGCATAGATCAGTGACATCACTGCACCAACTCAGAGAAAAACATTTGAGCATTCTGCAAGAACGATAATCGCAGTATACTGGAGGTAGCAGAAGCGACCGGTGGAGACCTTTCTACTTCAGGAAAATGCATTCTTCATCACCATTCACAATCATGGTTGATCAATTTGTGAGCCACTCGCTAAACCTGTATTAACATTCTTTTTATCCATAATAGGTCTATGCTGAGATGCAGCTGTATCGTCCAGTATATAATTCGTACCATTCTGTTTTACAGACATCTCCACCAAATGAATTCTTGTTGAAAGTCCATATCACTTTATTCACCATGTATTTCTCACACAGGTACATCAACCAAATCAGCGTAGACGTGGTTTAAGGTGAATTGTGGATTTGCATATTTATGTTAGAGACGATGCGCCTTTACAAGAATGTTTGAAAATTTGAGGCATTCTGAGTTCAGACAGGTCAAAAAGCCCATCCGTCTTCTGGGGGAAATAATGAAACAATCCCATTAACCAGATTTGCGAACATTGTGTCATACTGCTTTGTTGCAAGCCAGGGGGTCGTTGCTCTCTAATCGACTGCTGTGTGGCTTTGTAGTGAATACGAAGAACCTTATGAACTCATTCAGTATACTGCCCCTTTTGTAAAAGCGGTCACAAAAAGCTCGTTGAAGTAACCCACATTTCATGACGTCCTTACCTTACTGGAATATTTTAAGTGGCAAACACAATAATTGTTTGCCAGTGACCTATAGATGTTAGAAAAAAAAGAACTACAGCTCTGGGTAATTCAGAGGTATCCATTTTGGTTTGCATACATATACTGTCAATCCGGAAAAAATCTTTACTCTTTTTCTCCTCTCTTTGGGAAATCTGGTTTAGTCGTTTAAAAATTTGCGAGAGCAGCACAGATGTAAAACTGAAAGAACTCAGAGTGCTCACTGAATCCTAAAGAATGATTTATTTTTTTAAAGTTAAAATATGTATGTTCACTATGAAATAAGCAGTCAATTTTTTAATGACATCAAAGTTTTTCGGAAGACCTTAAATTTGTAAATTTTGAAATCTACTTCATGTGACGTACTCTATTCAACACTTCATTGATCTATTTATGCTGACTGATAATATTTGTATAAGTCAAACCAATAAGGTTTTGGTCCAATAGCGACTTCCATCCAATCTGCAAGTTTCTTCTGATGAATCTAATAACCTCAATTCATCAGACTTCAGATAATCGAAAGCGATTTTAGGTCTAGTCTGTCAAATAAAGCCCAAAGATATGGTTGAAGCACCAAATTCGTCCTGTGTGTTCACGTTTTGTGAACTTAACCAGCGAGATTTTCATTTGTGGTAACATAAGTTGACTGGAATCTTGTGTGCAGCAAAATGTTCCTAGGGAACGGATGCATGAAACAACCAAGGTAGGCTTTTTTCTGGGCAATAGCTGAAATGCTGACGGACAACAGGTTCCATGGGTAGGGGGTTAACTGACGATCCAGAAGAGGAGAGCTAGGTGGACGCTGTGAACAGGAGATTTCGTGAGACACGAATACGGCTCACACTCAAACTGACATGGTAAATGACGAATGCTTTTCGGATAACACTTACCGGATCAGTTATTGCGCACAAATCTGCTATAGTTTATGCCCTAAAATACAAATTCAAAACTTTCAAAAGATTACTCTCCCTTTGAATCAACGTCTGATTTAACGACAGATTATACCACTGCATTGATGAAGTGACATGTACGTGTATGATACAGGCGTGCTATTGGTGCAAATTGATAATCATTGTAATGAAATCCAACACGGTTTGCGCATAAAAGGCTTGGAACATTAGCCTGGAACTGTATTGCACTTATGTTTGTCAACATTTAGAATCTGGCGAAACTGCGTCGTTGAAGTTATCTTTTTATCATGCTGACAGTGACTTGATTTGAACAATCGGTTGTGGAAACATTGGAATCAATGGATTTTATCTTTACACAGTCGGTTGTCTGTGGGCAGTTCGACATTCTACATGAGGAGGGTGGCTCGCTTCTAACGATAAAATCAATCTCAACCTGTGACCTAGAGAAAACCGATTTTACTGTGTTCATTCGCAATAAACATCAGTTCATCACTGTTAGACAGCCACAATAGCTGTGAGGGAACCTGAATTCCAATTAGTGGTTCTTCTGCAACCCGATGCATCCTAAAATTCAGTAGCTGAACCGGAAAANAACCGGAAAAAACGAGCTCATCTAAGAGAGTTGACATGATACGAAAACAATCGAAACGATTTTTTACCACATCGGGACCAATTGATATTAGGAGTGTATCGAAAAATCAATGCGCGATGTGTTGGTCTATTGTGAGCGTTATAGTGTTAATAACACAGCAATGTCGGTAGAGAATCACATTCGCCGACGTTTCGGTTACCGTGGGTAACCTTTCTCAAGGCAGGTTTTTGATTGTGAAATCTGCCTTGAGAAAGGTTAACCGAAACGTCGGCGAATATAATTCTCTACCGACATCGTTGTATTCTTAACACCATAACATTCACAATCGAAACGATCATTGAAAATAATTCTGATTGAAATAAATGATGAGGAGAGCACTGTAGAGTCCGACTGAATAATCCTCTGCTAATACAGTAGTTGATTACGCATCAAAAAGAAACCACAAATGTTAGAGTAAATGGTTCACATTACTGCAGAATATCTCGTGCCTATAGAATAAAACCCACTGCTTTATCCACAACTGGTAAAGGCTTTGATCTAAACCATCTCATTTGAAAGTGTGCAATTTTAAAAAGAACGCACGTAGTCCTACATTTTTGTCTCTGATTTGTACTTCCCAAGGGCGACTGGGAACGAAACCATAAGTTATAAACCAACACGTGGATATCGACCAGTTTTCAGGGGATAAGAATATTTTTTGACAACATGGTAAAAGTGTTTTGTATTCCGAATAATGCGAATAAGCATAATAAAGCTTTAGTTTATTATTCACATTTGAATGCATTTTACGGTAAAATTTCGCCCACTGGAGCAAAGTCTTTGCTTGCATTCAGTGTGGATTCCATAGTCACTCAGAAGAAGATATTCCACTATCATAGTGTGAATAACCACTCCCAATTTGGATCCTATATAGGTTCACTTGACGTGTATCGATCCCCCTGGTTGCCAAAGTCGTGACCTGCGCATGCCCATCAGTGGTTTGAATCAGTCGTTGCTAACACACCGGGAAACCGGAACTTCGGATTACCAGGACGTAACCGAAACGCGTATTCCACACAAAGCTGAAGTGTTTACTTGGCTCGTGACCGAATTGAATCCACACACACTATATGAAGTTCGAGTTGCAGCTATATCGTCCACCGGACCCGGTCCGTTCTCCGAGCCACCGGAAGTGTTTAGAACCGCAGAAGAAGGTGAGTTTAGGAGACGGCACCGATTTCCGAATACGATTGTAATTTTTAGGCTTCAATTTTCTGATGCTCTATCTAAAGGTCGTTGTACGTTCTATATTCACCCAAATGATGGTAACGTTGTGCAAAATTGACAATAGACGCTACTTTTGTCAAATACAATTACATCAAAGTTCTAGTTTAAGCATGATGTTCACAAATATTCAACCGTGCATCAAGTGAATATCAATCTGTCCTTTTTCTTATTATCTTATAAGTTCGTATCATGTTTACCCAAAAACGATGCATAAAATTGCTCATAAATTACGTTTTCAAGCACTATGTTGAATCACCTCACGACCAGTGTAAATAGTACCGTCAAAATGTTTATGAAATTCGACCCAACTGAGAATCAGATTGATGCTTTTTCCGTTTTAAAATTATTGGCTTGTTAACAATACTGATGAATTACAGGATAGGTAATACATTCACAAGAAGAATTTTGATAATCTCGGATTCAAATTATCTTTTATTGCTTTCCAAACTAAAACTAACTTTGCTAATGACGATGTTTGAACGATGAAGGATTTCTTCGGAATATTACTGAATATAAAGAGACAAATCAATAATAAATAAGCTTACTTTTATAGGTTCTTCTTCAGGCAAATGATAAAAATCATAATAATTCCATGGTTATCATTGCATAAAGTTGGCAGATTCCAACTAACTCCGGTCTAATTTCATGAATTTACCAGGGCCTCCTTTTGCTGTGGCTTATCATCCATCTCAACATTTTTATTGTTTCTTTGTCATTCTGACTGCTAGAGCCCTTCCATCAAGTGTCGAAACTATACTGCTTGTCACCACCGAGCTAAATCACAAAGTGATAGGAACGTCCTAATGAACACGCAGTAAACTGTTGATAGCGTATTTCTAACTGAGAAACATGTTCGTGAAAAACCTAGTCGAGTGGTGAAGTTAATTTTTAAGAATCAATCATCTGAGACACAATATAGTGTACTTTCCCACTTGTTAAGGATATAAAATGAGCTATACATCTCGATGCCCAATCAAGTCGGTGACTGATGTCAAACATGAAAAGGGCAACTCGCATGCTTCTTCTTTATTGGTTAGATATCAATGCTCTCAACAAATTCCCCAGGTGAACAATTAGTACCACGCCTGTGGTCGTCCTCTCACCCTGGTTAAAAACGCCTCTCCCATGGAAAAGTATTGAGTATGAGGGCTTCCTCAGTTTAAGATAGCCTTATAAAATTTTCAATTTAACCCATTCGGGCGGGTCCATTTGTTATTCTGTGAAAAAAACCATTCCAGATATGTGGTTGATTGGAATAACCCCAATGTTGTTTTTGCTTTTCCCCTAAACGTGTGGATTCATACTACTGTTAGTGCGAGTAGGATATGTATAAAAAACAGGCAAATTATATTGTCGTTTTCAAATGTTTACGTGGATAGATTCCAATGAATGACACAAACATGTCTAACATCATTAGCCAATGTGCAAACGTGCAATCCATTGCCTTATTTATTCATTGCTCATCCACGCACTCATACACATGCACGCGCGTAATCACCCTCAATCAGAATTGGGCGTTGTTTCATTTTGGCTCACAGTTAATCGGTATACAGTTTATCAAATTTTTAACAAACGTCGTGCCATTTTCATTTTTTCCGTCTAAGTTGTTATCAATTTGGTGATTTTCATTTCATTGAGGTTTTCATCTGCATGGATTGGCCGATAAGACTATTCAAAATTATTATTGTTTGAATAGGTCAGCGGTAGGTTCGGTGGGGGGAGGGACGGGATAGGTTGAAGGAACGAGTGGGCAAGATCACCGGGTGGCGGGGATGGCGGTGTGGTTTACGAATGTGCAGTCCTCTTGTATAACCTAGCCAAATGTAGGAGTTATTCAACCGGACAAGTTTCAGCGACCTACAAAACGCGCGTGTGACAGGATTCCCATTGGTGTTTTTATTAGGATCACTGAATGATGTCGATAAGAGGCCATTCTTAAGAAATGTTGTGGAAAGAATAGTGGGGATACATCTAATTTTATTCCCAATAAGTAATAATGAATAATGGAATATAGCTGGTTGTGTCTAGATTCATCGCATACCCCGGTCATTCTTCCAAAGGAATGTGAAATTGTGTATAGACCGTTTTTACCAATTAAATAACGGGTTTTGTGTTATTTATTGAAATGCAAGTAGTTCAAAACTGATATGACAGTTAGCGAGATCAAGTTATGAAGGGCTTGAGATGTTATGGACGAAAAGTCTGCCATATAGTTGCTTGCCAAACTAATTTCAAAATCTATTCGATTTGGTTTTTACAGACTTTCAGTAAAGGTCGATAAGGAGCACCCATAAGCTGAGAACCACCATCAGTATGTTTGTATTCCTGTTGGAACTCAAAGCGCAAACCTTCGGATTGAATGCCGAAACCACATGAGGTTCTTAAACAACAAAAATTAATCAAAAGGAAAGAGACCCATACAAATGACTGGTAGGTAAGGGTAATCGTTTTGACTATAATAAAACACTTTCTACAGGGATTTCGTCTGGTTTCAACGTTTTACATTAACCGAGAGCTCAATTTTCACTACCCGTGCGATACGTTGCATTTAAGTGTGCTTGGAATCAATCAACTTATTTTGCAGAATTGCAGTCATATCTTTAAACCACACAGCAACACTGTGAGTGCTTCTCAGACAAGAGCTAATGCAACTCCTTACGTCACTTGATTAGCGTGACCTTTCAGCTGGTACCAATCCAAGTATTATTTTTCATTCGATCGAACGTATTAGTCAGTCATGAATAAACCCAATATTGATTCACAATCACAACCACGCCCAACCAGCTGCCCTGTATCCTAGGATAGGGTAACACAGTACACAAGCTGAGCAGTGCATGTGTGGAATTAGTACCATGACATACCACATTGTCCTGTCCCAAAACCTTGACAATATTTAAGCAAACCATACATTGCGAGTTTAATTCATAATTGTCCCTCGGTTGACGCATAGCATTTGCCTTAGATTATTTGGCATTATTTCTAATTCTTCAACCGACCACCGCCACTTTTACACTGGCAGAGAGAGGAATGCTTAAGCTTGCACTCGGTGTATACTGATTGAATGGCTCTTCAGCTTCAAACACAGGATTTGTATTCCAGCTAAAAGCGTTTGGTGCGTGAGTTTGACAAAAATCAACCTATCGACTGGGGTTGACGATCTTCAGTTCACCGAACAGATTTATCTATCACAAGCTGGACCATTTTAGCTAATTGGATGCTGCCAGATCCGATTCCGCGAGTTAATTCGTTGTTCTTATTTTGTTGGCTCCGTACAGTCAACAACCTTGAATTGGTAAGCCCAAAGCAGTTCATCCTAGCTGCCTCATGCGCTGGATTTTATATCCACACTACCAAAAGCTTCAATTTATCGAGACTCCCATGGATATGCATTGATGATAAGTCTTTAAGTAGCAGTCTAGTGCTGTATAGCGCTTCCAAGGCTTTTCAGCACGACGCGAGACAGGTTTACTTTGCGCGGTGAGTTACTTGATGAAAATTGACGCAGCTAAGACGAAATCAAATGCATTCAAACTATAACATATGAATAACGCTTTACTAAGAATGGGATCTAAAAAGAACACCCCTAAGTCGCTCTTTCCGCTCCTTGTTAAACAGTTAACCTTTTCCCATAACTTCCTCAAATCTGATTTAATTTTCGGTCTTTCTAAATTGCAACGGTTACGTTTCTTTTTCAAAATTTGCCTTTTTACACGTTTACCTTCAAAAGTTTAGTTTATGTAATTGTTTCGTTTGAAAGAACGTAATCATTTAACTATGTTCGTCTATAACTTACGTTAAAGTGACTCAGCTCGAGTTCTCGGGTTGGTAATGGGGCATAAAAACATAGAGCACTCTTTCCTTCGGTTCTCACAAACTCGCATTCTCATTCAACGACGATAGGCGTTGACTAAGCTTTGAATATCACACACGCACACACACAGGCCAACTCAGAAATCGAGTTGCACGGGATGGGTTCTGGTTCACTTGTATTTTTTGTGTTGGTTTCTATTTCTGTTCAGACGTCATAATTCAATGGGCGTGAAATATCCACAAACTGGTTCACCACACAAAAATATTTCCACATCACTAACAGTATATTTTGAGGTTGATGCAATGTTACACACCCATTTCCAATAGTTATATAAAGAGGAGTGGTTGGTGAGGTGGAGAACGTTTAGAAATTGTTTACGAGAAATTTGGGCTCGGAGTTCACTGAGGTTATACACTGCTTTTATAAAATATGTATAAACATTGCCTTCACGGTTGTCGGTGTTACACCGAATTATATTTTTCAGTGCGGAGCGGTGAGAAATGCTTTGTTTAGGGAAGAAGGCTAAGCTCTTATGACAATCAATTTACACTAAACCATCAGGTAACAATGTGAGACCAATTAGTCTTGCATGTTTTCGAACATATTCGTGTCACCAGGCGTGTTCTCGATGGCTAACCACCATTCCTACTGATGAAAAGCCCTGTGATTACAATTTCAATCTGATCATTCCATAGCGATGTGTATATAATCTCTTGCAGTGGGAGATAAAGTTCGGAATGAATACAACTCAATCATAGCTTTTAAATACACGTAAGATATTGGAAAATGAAATGCATTTCCAAGATGAGAGTCCAATTGAACAACTCATAATAATACCTCTGTATAACCATATATATATATACATACATATATATATATATATATGTAACATGAAAGCCTTGACTGGTCATTTTAGTATGTTAATGTATTATTGGGCTGCATCCCCTTATTCTCTGGCCTCAAAAACGACAACTATTTCTTAAATCGGCATTAAAAGTGGATTTGAATTAGGGAATTCTGAGGTATGTTTTTATCCAGTGACGCAAATCCTTAACAACTTATGTCACGCAATCGCTGTAATTCCATCAAGCCTGATGTCATCAGCGTGAGAAAGATTTTGAATGTGTGCAGTAGAAGTATTGGGAGAGCTCGCTCTAGTAAGCTCCGCTGATAGTTCCACAATGTATTTAAGGAAAAATATGCGTTTACTGCTCGTTTCGACCGATCGACGAATACCCGAACCTATTATATTAGGCTTTTTGCTCCATCCCTAAGTCGTTTTCAGGCTAGCGCACACAAGATTACTGTGATCCTAAATGCTGTGTATGCTTCTATGGGTTCTATCTCTATGAATCTTTTTCCTGAGGTTTCATCCACCCCTATTCCGTCTACATGGTGTTTGGCATCGGTACACTTTATAACTAGCACACATCGACCACGTCGCAATTTCCCAACTAATCTGTACTAGTTTTAACGCATTTTAATGTTTTGCATCGTTAGACATTAGTAGCGACTTCGATGGGAACCAGATAGATAGTTGCTCTCATCGTGACCATCATTTTCTGATTCCCCCGGTGATGAGATTCTTTCCACCAGTCATTATTTTAACAGGGTATCTCGTCGATTTCTTTATAACAGGAGATCAAAACCCAAAGATGGTGATTAAACTCTTTACTCCATTTTCGGAAACTATGGAAACATGTGAATCATGTCGTATTCACGATGGAGATGTAGATGAAAACACCGTCATCCGCATTAGGCGAATTAGTGCTTTCTCACTTAATTGTCAGAAATAAGAAGTCCTAGTTTAATTTTTTCCCAGGTATACAGGCAAATCTACTCCACACAACGAATCTGCGGGATAATAAAATTAGAACAGTTACATGGTTTACCTCACACGGTAGTCTAATATTCCATCGTTTTTCATTTCTATTTCTTTTTGTCACTAAATAATGACAAATTGTTAGTCGTCTTCGATTATCAACTTTTGCTTTGTTTTCTGGTAAAACCAATTTTTTTTCCTTCCCAATATCAGTACTGGTTCCGATCTCCCTCTTACTCTGTCTCTAACGGACCCCACACCTTGCTTACTTCCTTTGAAAACTAAAAGTGAAATAAACAGTCTATTTTCACCAAAAGAATTTAAAAATCACGATTTCTGATACTGAAAGTTTTTATTTTTCAATTAAAAATTACTTAATCAGATATTATTTCCGGGGGTGGTTTTGAAATCAAGAAAACTACTCTGCTTTTCCAATATGCTGAGGTGGGGCTGGGAGGGGTGAACCAGAAATGCAGATCGCATTTAGTTAGGTCCTCAAGCGTTATAACAACCATCATTGGTACAGTGATGCTGGAAAGTTGCATCACAACCTCTTAGCATTGCACAATTTATCTACCGAGTGACCTTGGCTGGACCACCCTCATTGGTGTCTCACACATTGACCATTCCAAACTATAAAATGTGTCCCAAAAATAAACATTCAATCAACTAAATGAACGTATCCAAGTTGCTCAATTTTCACCAAAAAGAATGGCAGGTTAGCAAGTAGGTCTTATCAAACAACCGCCACAATTTTAGGCGCCATAAATAAATATTCCAAAGATGATTTTTTTCTAATTTTTTGATTTCGAAATCCAATAATAGGTTCATATTTCGTCTTCTTCACGATTATTCTTTTAGTTCCATGCGCTTTTGTATTGGCTAGAATAAAACAGTATTTCAGAATATTGCCGTTGATTTTCCGGCAAAATGTTTGGTGATATGGATGCCCGAATGTACTCATTGTCCTATCCACTGCACACCTTCCACATTTCTCGTGCAAAGTGGTTCGGTTCATTTGCAATCAGTTTTGAAAGTAAAACGTAGCTAATAATTCCATTGGAATTAAAGCATGCTCGAGTAGACATGCTTCTGTGACGTGGTTGGCATGATATAATGTTTCTTCGTTTGGTGAAATCCTACCACGGTAATGTTATGAAGGGGGCTGCTGTTGTCCAATTCGACTGAAGTGATATTTTTTAGTAAACCAATGCCAATTGACTCCCTAGCATGTGATGAACGAAACTAGCTCTCTGCCCAATCTTTTGAACCCGGAAAACGTTACCTGCGTACTGATAGATACTATCAGTGCTTCTAGCCTGAGTGATTTTTAACCCCAGTTTTCGTCATCAATGTTCGTATGCCTAGTGAGGAATCTATTGTTCTTCATTGTTTGCTTTAAGGGGTGGATGGGAGCAGCCAACCTCCCTCTCGTTCCAGCTGGCCTCACAGTGAGTTTATCGTCGTGTTCCAAACCAGCAAGTATCCACACGACGCACGTGACCATCCGTTTCGCCCTTTCGGGGCAAAGATACTCTGAGTACGAAAAACAATCGAGAGGGGGCTCTACAACCGTTCCATGTCAAACCAAAATTCAGAAATGCAAACCGTAGTCTATTTAGATTTATATAGTTACAAAATACTTCTAAATATGATAAATAGGGACATGCGGTCGAATTGGTAACACAAAACAAATAGTGTGTTGGCCCCGCCCTTCAGATTGCACATCCAATTGGGTGGAACCGTTAGCCAAAATTGAACTTGAAATCTCAGTTGATGAGCCTTTCAATACATCCGCATAGTTTACTTGCCAACATCCATTCATAGTCACAAATGTTTGTATTACCGGAATACCTAACTTTTGTCAATTTATCCTGTCCCTTTTTATTCCACTATTCAGTTCCTGATTATGTGAAAAATCTATTGGTTGAAAAGAACGAGGCAACGGCTTTACAACTACACTGGAAGCAACCGCGTTCTCATAAGGGGCAAATCCTGCATTACATTATCAAATATAGTCAGGTAATATGTTGTTTTAATGCCACATTCAGATTTCATTTAATCCTAACATTCCGCAATCCAAGATACTTTCGATTCACAGCAAAATGCTAAGTGAAAAATGTATAACAATCTGAACTATGGTCGGTAGTTGGGATCCGTTAATCCCAGCCAGAACTGAAGCGGACGTTGCAGTCAGAATCCCCACAAAGTTATCCGATCGGTAAATATCCCATTCATTGATTGTCGAAAATATTTACAGTCAAACAACTATTCAAGAATAAATAAAGTGAAAAAAGAATGTACATGTGTGTATATACATATATGTTAATACTTTGTAATGAGTAATTTTATGAAACTTCTGCACGTAGGCTGGGGAAATATTAACAAATAAATCGATTATTCAGAGCTGTTATTTTTTATCGTATGAACACAAAGCAAGCATTGAAGACATATGCATCAACTGTCAATAGTATTGTAATAGTATTCGTAGTGGCATTCAGAGCGAGTTATGGAGATAAACCGCTATGATTTTCAGCCCACAAGAATCTCCTCATGTCAATTCGCCTAACGTTTTTTAGACAATAAGAAAGGACTGTTTCCAGGCTATAGCTTTGTGCCCACACTGGTTCACTATTCTGCGTATCATATAAAATATGATATTCTATCTGTTTATTTGCAGGCAGTCTTTCACTGGCTCTTATATGATACTATACAAATATAAGTTGTCAGAAATACCTCTTTCAAATTCCCAGGTAACCTATGTCAGCCTCTATCTCCCGTTTAAATATTAGCGAGAAATTTCGTTTCTATATGATTTCCAAGATGTGGTCCTATATACCATCCAAGTCAGTACAAATGTCCGATCACATACATCACACAATTTCTGATTAGCTGGAATCGTTCTGCCTAGATTTCCAGTTCACTGTCATATTATTAGTATGGAAATGACCGCTGGTTATCGGCTATATTATTGGTGTTCATCAGTTCAACATAACTTATCACACCAAATGGTCAAGTGGTTAAGATCATTAAAACAGTGACCCCGGGGGTTCTGCCCTCAAATGTATCACCGTCATTCTGCACTTCCCCGGTTCTACACTTCCCCAAACAGGTTTTGTGTGGCCGCGACCCCCCTCTCGAAGATTGATTGTACATATGTGCACGCAGTGAAAAGGAATAAAACAGTTATTTATTTATTACTTTCATCGACATTTATCATCGGTCAAATTATAACTCATTACGGTAAGCGACGTTGCCTCAAATGTAACTACCGACTTTCTCATAGTCGGTAAACATTTCCAAATAGTTGATTTTTCCCTCGGAGTGTAATCTGATTGGCGAATTAGTTCGAATGACGATCTGACCGTATATCTACAGCTCTCAAAATATTGTCCCTAAGCTGATTCGGTTCGTAAAAACAAAGTGGAACTGTCCGAATGGATGCTGAACACCACCCTACGAGGCTGAACACCGAAACTATTAAGTCAATCACGGGTGCAGTAGTTTCACGCCCAACTGAAACAAATCACACCTCGAACGTGACCGAGGCTTTCCGCCCCCTGTATAAAGTTCATGGGCGATTATCGAAGCAGGTTCAGTGTCGGATGCTGGCCACAGCAGAAACGGTGGGCATTCGCCTGTGTAACCCCTCTTGGTGTGCCCGAAAACAATTTGCGCAAGTGCTAAAGCTTTCCTGGCCCACCCACCCAAACACACGCTGTGTCACGAGTAATCTCGAAGACCGGATGAATGAACACAACGGTGTAATCATGGTGAATTCGATTTCCGGTCTCATGATAAAGCCAATTCTAGTAAGCTATGATGTGAAGCAATTTTATCTTATTTTCCCAAGACAGTTTTATTCACAAAGAGTGACACATACAATACTGGCCGATTGAGAAGCACTAAGATATTTTCTTTATGATGAAATGTAGTTTGATTATAGTTATCACCTGTAATAATGCTTTGGGTATGGACAATAATGTATATCTTGTCTATTTCGATCTATGTAGTTTCCAGGCTGCATGCTTATCAAGTAAACGTGCCTGACTTTGGGTGCCATGATTAAATGATCTCAACATGAAAACCGCAAACTTTGTCAAGTATGACAACGCAATATTTTCTAATAGGAATAACTCAAAAATTATCCTAAATTATTTCCATAAACTCTTGCCATCTCTGTTATTTTTTTGTGAGGCATTATTTTATCTAATATATAATCCGTTATAGCAACTCTATTGGATAACTAAATGATATGGTTTCACGACACGGAGAAATTACTTCATGTTCGATTAAATCTATATATGTATATATATTGTAATGTTTCGGCATGAACATGAATCACTGAAAACGAGCTTCTTCACCACTCAGTTGTTACTTTTAAAGTGAACTTAGTTAGTGTATTTGTTTTAGAGAGGAGAGCAAGGGGATGAAGGAAGAGACGCTCTTACGGTTTTCGAACAAGACCGGGTGATCGCTTTCGGATATGTTTTTGTTCAATAGTCTATCAATCATAAACAGGTACGAAGTCCTTTGTCGGGAGAACTAAAGTTACGTTTTGTCCCATATATCAGATGTGTCTGCGAAAGTCAACCAATTCGCACCTGTTTTGTCGACGTTGCCTGAGCTCGTTTTCGCGTCACACCCACCGTAAAAGCAGACGCACACAGACACCCAAGCATACAAACACAAACATAGACACATCTCACAACACGGCAAATTACCTTTCGTTGAATGAAATAGAGTCAACGTTTTTCGACTGTCAGGATCGAACTAGACTATCCTTCCCTCCCATCGGGAGGGGACGGCTAATCGAGCTAACTGAGTGGGGTGGAGTGAGAGTAGACTGGTTGACGATGGTGCTGGCACCGTGAGCTGCATGTGTGAACTTCGGTGCACCAAGCAGCATATCCGAGGCGGTTCTGTCCTTGCACAGTTCCACACACGAATAGATTTCGTATGTGGCACAACTAACAAATTCCAAATACCTTAAAGCGCTTTGAGAATTTCCGTGAACTGGTGAAAAATATATGAAATATTATTCAGATGGTGATTCATCATACTTCGAAAAATGTCTTACGACAGAAATGAGGACAGTTAGCGAGGCAATTTACCGTTTATTTCTTCGAACCTACAGCCGAATAAGCGTTATTAGTCAATGGAGCGCCACCTTACAAAAGAACCAGTGTGTTGGTTTTAGGCACAAGTTGAACATTCTTTATAACAATAGTTTGAAGATGTAAGAGTAAGCGATACGAGGCAAGAAACCGATGCAACATACCACCAGTCACAGTATCTGAAGAGTTCAAAATGTTTACTTTTACAGTTCGATTACTTTTCTGGAACATTTAATGATGCAGACCCTTTTTCAATAAGGAGGAAGAAGCCACTCCGGTAATAACCATTCGGAGTGTCTGACTGAATTAGTCAACTGTGGTGGGGTTCGAATACAATATTTAGAACTAAAAGTTGGAAAACGTAACCGCTTGGTCATCGCCGCCAACCCACTGTTTAAATTCCTGGAGAATTTTGGAGACTTTGTGAGGGATTTTAACAACTCACTCATTTCAATCTATTGAAATCTGTGATGTGCCCTGTTGGCTCTCTCTGAGCAGCTAATCTTTTGGACAAACTTGGAAATTTTTGTCTAAATGACCAATAAAGTAAACAGTGGTTTGGCGAATTCCTCACGAAGGATTTCCTCGATTGCACCGTGAGTCTTTCGGATGCGATTCAACGACGCCTGGTACGCAGTTACTCCCAGAACAGATGCTAACTGTTTCTTTTATACTTGATTAAACCCTCCATGTACTAATCCTATCGAACAGGCTTAAATTGATCGTCGACGGAGTTCATTTTGGTAACCAAATTCTAGGAAGTGACAACAGAGGATGGCACATTGACTGACGAACCTTTTCACTGAGTTAGCGACTGGATACAGGTTTAAATCCATTCAATATTTCCTGGGACCACTGAACTATAATCGAGTTGTCTGCACGTACTACAAACCAGTTTTATGTTTGTCTGTCGGCTCACGACATTTGTAGCGCTTATATGTAACCTATAAATCTAAAATACATTGAAAATTTCGTCATTGTTGTCTATCAACAACTGCCCGAAATTATTTAATGCATCTCTATCCCCCGATGAGCATGTCGGTGTGGATTTCACATCCCATGTTGAATCTAAGGAAGGCTCAGATGCGAACGAGTTTAGCCTTTGCATTATTTCTGCCATATATTGCCTCGCCTGAGAAAAACGTTTGATCTGTTGCGCAGGCAGATGTGTGTATTTTTCAATGTTTATCAGGTTTTCCTCTGCTTCAGACAGAAATTATTGAAATTTTTGTCCCGATTTTTATGTTGGCTGGAATGTGGTACGCACATCCAAAGGTTGTGAATTGTGCTAAAGTCGTGCTAAAATCAGAATTCATTTCTTTATTCTTTTGCCATTACATTTTGATTTAATTGCATAGAAATTTATCCAGAAAGAAGACTGAAGTACAGCGCCTGAGGACTGCAGTTTGAATTCCGTAGCTTAGTTTTCATTGAAATCCCACAGTGAATAGTGTGCATAAAAATAATAAAAATGAAATCTTGTAATCGGTTTTTCAGCTTGCCGTGCCAGCCTTGACCACTCAACTGCAACCGATTGAAACCGAATAGCGGAGCTTCGCGGGGTTGAATATTTTGCGAACACTATTTGATATTGATAAAACGATGCGACTTTATTTTTATCTATACTACTGGACTTCAAAGGCTTTTTTGTGAGAACACCAACTAGTTCTATTCTGTGTTGTTCGTTTTTGTTTTCAGATTGTGGAATTAGACCACAGTATCAGATTTCCTGACACCACACGTTTGGGAAGGAGTGCGCCGAATTGGGCATGGAAGTATCAGGGTGTTCTGAAAGGGTCACGGTCTCACCAATCGTCATTTTGGCACGTGGCTGAAACAGACCGATCCGTTTTCTCCGGTTTCACGCGGTCTGTCGCTCCACCCACACAGGTAGAATCGATTAGCGCAGGATCCGAGACCAGGGCTAATGTAAATCAGCTGTATCCGAACACGTACTATATCTTTTCGGTGGCCGCTGTCTCAAAAGCTGGTTCAGGACGGGCAGCTGTTGTTTTCGGTCGAACTATGGCATCGACGGAGATGGTAAATATGTTACAAAGTGTGGACTTTATTCAATGGCAAACTCAGCATAACCATATCACGAATGAACGACTACTGGCTGTTCACTTTACGGATGTAACCATGGAATTTCTCGAGGCTCCTTTGGTTTGGAATTTACAAGTAAGCAGTATTCGTTAAACATCCGTCATTGGATGAGGTATTCATAGGAAATAAAACCACTTTTATCTAAGGATATGTAAATAGCAATGGTACATAAATAAGGAATATTTGATAAGCGAACCTCGCTTTCATTACTTTGTATCACAGTGAATTTCGTTTCTTGTTATTCAGTACACCATATGTACGCAACGATGTGTAACTGCACACCGAGACATTGGGAAGAGTAACTGATTCGGTGTGTGATATTATCCCAGAGAATGAACTTCAATGCTTTGGTGTACAAAATAACTATCCATAAGCTACTTGTGGGTCCGGTGTTCGATCTTTATGCTTGGGTAGAGCGAATTCTCTCTTTTCATACTGGGAAACCGGTTCGCAGATTAGCGACCATTGGAAAGTGACAGCCGGGATAGAGCTAGTGGTTTTGTCTAATGCCCACCTGGGTAGTATCTTGGGTTGTAAAAATGACGAACTGATTACAAGGTTAAGTTCTTCGACGAGTCGAAGGACTACAACGGATACAAGGTGGTAGTTCTCCCGTGTCTCATGAATGATTTTCCACTCTGACGGAAACTTCCGCACCCACTGAGATGTCCGCACGATGACAAGGACACCTCTGACCAATGGCACAGAGCAACTGTTGAGGGCCAATTGACTAACCAAGCTTATCCACTCATCTGGTATAGTGCCAAGCGATCTGGTAAAAACTCTCACTATTCAGACCCACGGTTAAGGTGTACCGGGAAGGAAGAGGAGGAAGGGATTACTCAATCAAACAGCGGTCAACATTATACTGCGAATTCATTGGTTCTATGAACCACGTCAGAGGAGCAATGATGTATTGAGGTCATGGTTTGACTTTTCTCAACACACACGAATGAGGCTGACGAAGTAGAAAGGAGTACGGTGAAAGGCGAGGTCGAGGCTTCCATGAATGAGTCAGGTGAAAGGCAACTGTTTGAAAAGGCTTCAGAAGATGAGTATTGATAAATCGATGATTAAATCGAACATACATCTTAAAGCACACTAGCAATATACCAAGAGAAAATGAAATTTTTCAAGTTATTACTTGCTGTGCTTTCTGATTTATCTAATTCCGAACCATCGTAAAAAATCCTTTACTCAATCAATCACTTCGCAAGTACTAGGTAATATGAGGTCAGAATTACCGTGTTTAGTTCTGGTGCATAAAAAACAAAGAAGTAAAGAATAGTTTGTGGTGAAATTTTGTGATAAACGACAATAAGCACCGCAAACGTGTTTCACTCATGTCGTCATGGCAACACTGCGCACCATTGTGTTCTCGATGGAAATCACACCACGGCCTTGAGGGCTGGAAGCTGAAGCTCCTCCTCTTGAGCTACGCGGACGATGATTAACCTATTGAGTACATGGCTACATCTGTCATTCAAACATTCTCGGTTTATTCCTAACGAATTCATGTAATGTAAAGCATGTGATTTCGCTAGTGGTGAAACGAAAACGTCTTGAGCTTACCAAAAATAAATGAACTTACTAGTTCAAGACGAATATTTATAACAAACACAATTTAAACACCAGGACGATGACAGAGGGGTTCCAAAATGGAAGATACCGGACAACGAATCGGGGCACTTTACCGATCGACCAGCATTATACCCTTGTTCTTTATATGCTTGTGAGCATATTCGGTAATGAGATAATCATTCTACAGGGAGAAGCAAGAAAACAGCATCACGGGTTATTTGCTTTAAAGGGTACGCAAAATGGACACAGACACGTTAAGCAGACGTGGTAAACAAAATAGGAATGTTGTCCTAAAAGTTCAAAGATAAACTCAAGTTACACGAAACTACCTGTGATATTGTGCTGTGATAGGTGATGGGTGCGATTCGTATTCCCCAGGTGCATCATCAATTCAGCAAAATAACCACTGTCCGTTTAACTTTTAAAATATCAGAAAGGTTAATAAAACTATTCACACGCACTTTGAATCTCTGCAGCACCAGCCAAGGGAATACTTTCAAGCTCCACTACCCTAGCTCTAACTGAAGATGAACTCGCTAAAAAAGACCCGTCTCTTGGCTTCCGTTAACTTTTGTCTTATGTAAAATCAGATTTTTGTCTCTCTTATAAACCTTATTATAGTCTCCACAGTGTATTGGCAAACAAAGTGACGACGTTACTCGGGTTAATAATTTATTTTGGTTTAGTTTTACTCAAATTGTCAGACAACACTATCACTGTTTACAGATGAACTCAACTGAACAATCAAGCTTTAAAAATGACGGGGAATAACGAAACTGATTTCTTAAACAAACTCTCAGATTCATTTCTCCATTTATTTTCAATTGGTCAACGATTTGTCACTACTGCAAAACAGCTTGCGCAAGTTGATCGATCAGTTTTACGCCAGCAGAGAAATCGTATAATTTGCCTGTGTAGTTTATATCAGTGCCATCTGGGAACCAGTGGACTCTGAAATCCATCTGAACTCAGGTTCAGTAAGTGAAAGCATTGAACAACCAAAAAGGAGCAATGGAATGTTTTCCTACACCATTTGTATTCCAATTTCTGCAATTGCTTTCCCATCCTCAGATTGGTTAAACGTACAGTTTTTACCGAACAATATACTCCTGTATTAGTTCATTTGGAAGCATGAAATTACCATTTAGAAACCTTGTTCACTCTTGACTGGATAAATCAGTCCACTTCTATGCTTCTATTTCCTAACCGATTCTTTTGAGGTAGGTTTGTTTATAGGCTGGTGGATAGACTGAAAAGAATGTGTCAACTTGTCACCTGTTCTCTGAAAGAAGAAAGCCCGGTTTTGCTTGACTAGCGAAACGTCTGACACTGGACTGAAATCCTAGTTTATCACCTTCAGGTGAAATCTAAACTGTTAAAAGACCCGTTTGTAAAACAAGCCGAATGAATCATAAATGTCACTAAGTCTATTTCCCAGTCGAGAGCGTAGGAAATTTTCACCCCGAAAACCCTCACTCTCTGGCTCATGCGATAAGGTCGGAGAAAATGCCAACATCAGCACCCCCATCATTGTTGTCATCAGTCAAGACTATGCTCCACGCAAAAAAACTGCTGATTTTATAAATGTATGCGTTCAAAGTATCCGACATCCCCCACACACCCTTATCCACCTATACCGTTTTCAGATTATGATACCACAATATGATTTCAGGATGTCCGAAAATCAATTTAAGATGTCACTATATGAACTTAAGATGTCCGAGTATCAAATTAAGATATCACGTTGCTATGTGGATAGTACCTTGCACAGTATAGACTGAAAAGTTCGAAGGGCTCCCTGTTTACCCAGATCCATGTGCGTCCTACCTGCATACTGATCTATGACCCCGGAAAATATCGTCCCACGCTCAAAAATATGCACCAACGACTGCAAACGTTCAACCCTCATTTCACGTCATCCGCTGCCACCTCGTTTGTACCGAGAACACTTAATTCATGAGATCATTAACGTTTGTGGTGAGCACTGTTCAGTTAATTGCTCATTAACTCGGTCAAGTGAGAAATGTGGGCATCGTGTGAGGGACCCCACCGAACCCCAAAGCACTCCTTTTGTTTCGTATTCAACCAAGCCTCCGTCTATTTACACATGGTGGCATAACTCTGACTGAATTGTGGGTTACATTGTCCAATCCATGTGTGTGCAAACAAGCAGACAAGATCATCGTCGGTGCATATTTTTTTTAAGCGTGGGACGATATTTTCGGGGGTCATAGATCAGTATACAGGTAGGACGCACATGGATCTGGGTAAACAGGGGGCCCTTCGAACATTTTCAGTCTATACTGTGCAAAGTATTATCCACATTGCGCCACGACATTTAAATCGATACCGGGACATCCTAAATTCATATAGTGACATCTTAGATTGATATTCTGACATCTCAAACCGAAATAGGGTATAGTTTGTGGCGTGTAGAGTTGAAAATTTTCGGGGTTCGAATCAGTTGTGAGGCATGTGTTTTGCGGGATATTGAACAATCTGCTCCAGAGAATCAAGTTAAAAAGTTGAAGAACATCATAGGTTGTTTTATACGGATATGCATAAAATAAATATAGTCTTTAAATTTGTTGTTGTTTGGCTAAAAATGATAAAATATTGAAATTAACTTAGACTTTATTCGATTCATGAAAACATGATTCCTCGAAAACAATTATCAAACAGTTACCGATCTTTATAATGGACCCTTCCAACATCCTGTGAACCCGTCGTTAAGCGTTACACTAAGCATTCAACATGACTACAACTTAATCATTTGACCTAAGGATAAATACTCTAACGGGCGTCGACCATTTCTCATTCCATCTGCGGAGTAGCTTTAGATTCATTGTTCAAGAGATGCACAACGTCCATAAGTAGGAGATCAAACTTGACAAAACAAGATCACCTAACAAAATCTCTAAATCTCCTCCAAAGCTCTCCCAGCAACAAGTGTCACCTGTGGAACCGGAAGTCATGAACCACATAAGGTTTAATTGGATTAAGCTGAGCATTGCACAATGTTGAAGCTCTCTGAAAGAAAACGTTTAACTGACGATTGCGGGTTTCGAACAAAAATGTATGATGCTGTTCGGTGCACAGTAGTGCACCAGGCTTTTAACATCAACATCACTACCGCTACTATCAGCACTACCCTCATCACAAAGAGTTAATGCAAATCTTAGGAAAAACATTTTACAACAGAAATCCTTTGAAACGTCTATGCGATAGTCTAGCATCGACCCATAGGAAGTAAAACGCTCTGGTGAGCACAATGAGGGCAAATGCGATCCTAATGATAAAATTAAGTGTGAACAAACCATGAAAACTGATTCCTACAGGAGAATTTCCGCTGTTTCGCCATTAAGATTCTTACCTTTATTAACGTTTGCCCTATCCAAGTCATTCTTTGCGTTACCTCCTGATATTTTTGGATGTAATTATGCATGCTTGATCGACCCAGTGTGTGAAACAGTGCACCTAACTGTTTCGCAAAT